AAAGAACACATAACAATTAAGGTTGGGGGGAGGGGGGGCTACACCTGAAGGCTATCTCGCTTATTACTAGACCAAATTTTACCAAATTTCACACATATTGTAACAATCATAGTAAGGAGTCTTGAAATTCGCCATCAAATTTGAGAAAAAAAAATTGTTCCCATGGATACCGCGTCCATATTGGATTTTATTGACATGTCTTACGTAATGAATACCGCACTTATTGCTCATGGAAATTGAATGGGTTTTTTTTTTTTTTGCATGCGTGTTAACAAACATTAGATCTAAAAATTAGTCTGTTGTTTGTTTCGTAAACAAGCTAGAAACGTTTTTTAATCAATTTTTACCAGAGGTAGCATTCAAGTTTGCAAAAAATCTGTGAAAATCCACACTCCAGACACCACCAACAAAAATATATTCCAACTATCCAAAATTCAACAGACAAATGTTTAGTATTACATCTTCTCTTCATTCTGTAATAAAGTCATGAAGATTGGAGGGAAAATGGTGGAGTTATTCAAAAAAGTGTAGAGAAAAGTTGCGTTTTGAGAAAACGGCCGATAAATAAAAATAAAATATTGACTTTATGAGGAAATGGTGGTGACGAACATGCCCGGTATGTGAAAATGTGCGGTTTTGGGGGGTTCTTATGCGATGAAATAGTTGTAGGAGGGGCTGAGAAAGCTAAAAATGCCTACAACTCAAATTCCATAATTTTGAGCAGAATTGGGACTTTGGGGGTGTAGCCCCCCCCCCCCCCCCCCCCCCCCTTTTTTTTAAAACGAGTGTTTCAGATAAAATTTTGGCTTTTTAATCACCTAACAGTTCGGACATTCGCGCTTCATGGGGAACTTAACGAATTTTTAAAAAGCACAATAAAATGAACATTAGTTACAAAAGCTTTCTCTGAGGTAATGATCCACAACATCCTCTTCCTCCTCCTCCTCCCCATCATCATCATCATCATCATCATCATCATCATCATCATCATCATCATCATCATCATCATCATCAACATCATCGTTGTTGTTGTTACTTACTCTCTCCTTAGAGGGCTCTCGTGGCCTAGAGGTTAAGGTGTTGGCCCCTTTAAAAAGTCCCGGGTTCTAATCCGTGTTGCGAAGGAAAAACTTTCTTCTCTAAAATTATCTCCTTTCACCCCCTTTCCTGCTCTCTAGCAATATTCTGTCGTCTGCTTTCGTCTCCACTTTCTGCCCCCACCCCCTCACCTTTGCCCCCCTCCTCTGGGCTCCTGACTCTTTCTGCAGCCTTTCCAGTGCTTCTCATTGGCTCCTTCCTACTGCTGTCTTTTCGCCACACCTCTGATCTTCTGGTAGGACAGATCTGCACCTCTAGCCTTCTCGGACAAGTGCCAAAAATCTCGGAGGTCCCGTGTGCAAGTTGCGCACGGTAAAGATCCTTTGGTGGTCCAAAATCGAGAAGAGTACAGTAGACTTCGGCCGCCACCTGTGCAAAATCCAAAGGTTCCTACCAACTGAAAATGTTAGGTGTGTCCCGAGCGCTCATATGACCTTATGCAGTTGCGAGCGCCGTAAAACACTTACAAACAAACAAACAAACAAACAAACAAACACTCTCTCTCTATAAATCTAGGGCTACCGTCATATACGGAACTTAAGGCTGAGAGTGAGAGCAGTCGACGCCACGCTTGCCTGCCACTGGCCATGTCCTCCAATCTCAGCAAATCCAGGCCCTGGGTGATTGTCTCATCCCTTATTGAGCCTCTATAGCTTCCAGTTGGTCTTTCCGCTTTCTTTTACCAGTTGGTTTCCAATACCATGTCTGAAAGGGCAATCTTGTCTTCGGCATTCTTAGAACATGTCTTAAATATCTCCACCTTCTCCTTTTTTTTGTTGGTTGTATTGATATTTTCAATTCCAGCTCTTTCCAACACTTCATTATATACATAATAAATTCATTCCATTTTATGAGTAAAATTCTTTGTAAACATAATTTTGTTTGGAAGCTTTCTAATTTTCGTAGAATTATTTTGTTTGATTTCATTATGGAGTACCCCTTGCAGAAATTAGTAAATTCAAGTATCTTGGCAGCATTATATCCAAAACTGCAAACTGCCTTGACGACATCCAGCAAAGACTTTAAAATGCATGGATCGCTTTTGTGAAACTAAATGCTACATGGAAGTCAAAGATCATTTCATTGAAGTCGAAATTAAAATTATATATGATAGCAATACATGTATTTGGCTGTATTGAAGCAAGGCCCCAGAGATATGAAAAACGAACAAAACAATTCAACGAAAATTAAAACGCTTCGAAACCAAATGTCTACGAAAATTAAAATTCAACTAGTAAAATGGAATAAATTTCGATCATCACAAATATAGCAGTGTTGGAAAGAGCAAAAATTGAAGGCATCAACACAACAATAAAAAAAGAGAAGATGGAAATATCTAGGACATGTTCTGAGAATGCCAAAGCCGAGACTCCCTTATCAGAATGGCAGTAGAAACCAACTGGGAAGAGAATGCTGGGAAGACCAACTGGAAGCTACAGTGTCACAATAAGAGATGAGGCAATCGCCCATGGCCTAGGTGTGCCAAAATTAGAGAACATGGCCCGGGACAGACATGCGTGGCGTTGACTGCTCTCCGCCTTATGTAGGTCTACCTGACGGTATAGGGAGAGAGTAAGTAAGTAAGTATATATATGTATGTCTCTGAACCACATATCAATACAGCCAATTGTTGTTGCTGAACAATAGAAAAACAACACATACAGAGACTCGGGTATCTTTTACTAGAAAATAATGACTCTTTTTAAAGAGATCAGCAGTTCGCTCATTCTCGCTTCATCAAAGGGAACAAAACAAGTTTAAAAAACACATAAAAACCAGCACAAGAATTACAAAAGTGTTCACTTTGGTAGTTCACAAAATCATCCTCATCCTCAACACCACCACCACCATCATCATCGTCATCATCATCATCATCATCATCATCATCATCATCATCATCATCATCATCATCGTCATCATCATCATCATCATCATCATCATCATCATTGTAGATAGCAGGGAATAAAAAAGGGTATGAGACTTAGTAGACTTTTCAAATTTAATAAGTTCGACGTTTCGCCCCGTAAGGGGCTTCTTCAGGAACATGTAAAAAAAAAATATAACGGAAAATCTATTGACTACAAACTACAAGCAATAGCAACAAAAGTGCGCGCATAAACGTCATAATATCAAAAGGTGCGATAAAAACAAATCGGGAAGACCAGAGAAAAGTGAAGGCTATGGCAAGAAGTGGTATGAATATAAAATAGTATGTACGTCAAATCATATATTATATATAACCATTAATATTAATGTAAAGGTAATTATTAGTGTTAGTAGTAGTGGCGCAGCAGCAGCAGCAGCAGTAGCAGCAGCAGCAGCAGCAGCAGCAGTAGTAGTAGTAGTAGTAGTAGTAGTAGTAGTAGTAGTAGTAGTAGTAGTAGTAGTAGTAGTAGTAGTAGCAGTAGCAGTAGTAGTAGTCGTAGTAGTAGTAGTAGTAGTGGCATATATTATCTACATAAGGAAAGGAATTTGTAAAACTTTAAATTCCACACAGGTAGGAAACTTATGTCCTCTCGAAACGAGCCCAAAGGCAAGGTAGAAAAGTACAAGTTGACTCATCCGTATTTCTTCCACACCACTACAAAGACCAAACTTCACCGTATTTGTCCACTTTGGACATAGATGGACGAATAATTATAAATATCTCAGTAACTAGGGTAGAAATAGTTGTATCGTAGCACAGTCTTTCAAAAAAGTGTGATAAGTACATTACGTGGTAATTTTAGGTCCCTGAAATGTGGCTCGTCGATGTTAAGACCACTGAGGATTTGGTGGGAACCCAAGTTCCAAATCCACATTGATTCTCTATGGTTTAGATTTTCTTTTGTAGGATTACGAACTATTTCAATGCCCTGAAGCTGCAAATCAGAGGCTCCATCATCATCATCATCATCATCATCATCATCATCATCATCATCATCATCATCATCATCATCATTATCATCATCATCATTTAACTAGAAAACTTTGTGACTAGTATTTTATTTTGTGAAGAAACCAAGCCTTTACAGAGTTCTCCAAATCTTATTAGGAATCTTATGTAAAGTTTTGAAATGTAGGACTTGACTTTTAAGATTTCGAACAGGAAGTGCTCCTAATAAAGGTAAAGGGACTTTGAGATACGATCGTGAGGTATTCAGATATGTTTTCTTGTCCTGGAAAAGGAATAGAGTGCAGATCAATAACAGCCACTGTTACGACTATACAGGGACTGGTCTACTTAACCTTTGTTCCGAGATTGTTTTGTCTTAGCAAGTTTTACGGTGCTCGCAACTGCATTCGGTCATATTATGAACGCCAAAGGGTGGACGTCAACAGAGAAGTCCAAACGGGGAATCAGGCTTACTCTGCTCGGCTCTCTAGCCTCAACAGCACAAAGTCTTCTACGACTATCAACGCACCCCGGAAATAGCAGTTCACAAGTAGAGGTGAAATGACGATAGTAAGGATGAAGAAAGAAAAAGCGGCAGTTCCCCCTATGTTGTTCCGGCACAGTATGAGCATGACGTTGATAAATCAGCCCATTAACAATTCTACTGTGCATAAGAACATGTTATGAAAAGCGCCTAGGCTGTGTTTACACGGGAGTGGGCGCTATAGAAATGATCTTCATTACCCCCCCCCCCCCCCCCCCGCTTTTTGGGGGTAAGTGCCAAAAGACACTTCAGTCAGTAGCACTGCCCTGGAGGGGGGCATTGTTCCGATAGTTGTGGATACGTAGTGTATATTTCTCATATGTAGAACCTGAAATGAGACCTCTTTCAAATGGAAAAAACAATCAAATTGAGGCTACTAAGTTCAACAGTTTGCGAGAAAATCCGAATACAATTTATGTATACAAAATACGTCATGTACTTTGAGATGGGGTTGGGGGGTGGGGGGGGGGGTGGGGGGGGGGCAGCAGAATCCCCCTTACAGAGGACTTGTCTTTTCTGCTTGATAAGATTTCATGAAGTCAGTAGTGACCTTGTAACCAGCGCTAGAGCAGGTGAGGTAGCTCTTCATTTCGAACATAAAGCCATGTGGAACCCCCTTAAACGGGACATGCTCACAACGGACGCCAGCCTTTTTCAGCTTCTCGGCAAACATTATCCCCCAGTCCCGCAAAGGGTCTAACTCTGCTGTGATTACAAGAGTAGGGGGAGATAACTCTAAGTTTGATCTAGTTCTAGCCAGAGGATTTACTCTAGGATTTGTCTCAGCGTCCGGAATGAACGGAATGGAGAAATCAAACAGCCACTCCATATCCTTGCCACAAAAAGCCGGGATGTCTCTAAACTCTTGCATCGACCCAACGGAGCAGTCCACTCCACTTACCGGATAAACTAAGATCTGAAAGTCGAAGCCTTGCATCTCGTTGGTGACACAAGACGCCAGCTGGCCTCCAGCACTATCACCTCCAATCCCCACTTTACTCTTAATGGTACCGCCCAAAAGCTCTTTATTTTCCAGCACCCATTTTGCAACAGTCACCGAGTCGTTGAAGGGTGCAAAGCGATCCTCTTCGTTAGGAAGAAGGCGGTAGTCGACGCTCAGAACAATAGCCCCGCTGGTTTCGGCAATATACTGCACCACATGTTCGTATGTCTTCCTGCATCCAGCAGCCAGACCGCCTCCGTGCAGGTACAGATAAATCACAGGGTCGGGGGGAGCTGAAGTCGGCGTGAAGACCGACACAGGAATCCCATCAGAGACATGCTCGGACGGCACAATGTAGTCCTTTACAGAACCCTTGAAAGACCCAGGTGCAAGTGCGCTAATGAGGCCAAGCTGCAGGAAGGCCTGTCGACCTTGCTCAAGGGTTCCTTTGTGGATATGTGGGCTTCCATACTCAATGAATTTTCTGGACGTTGCTTCAGTTTCGGGGTCAATCTTGTACTTCAAGGCCACGTCGCCCCATACGCTCTGGGATGCCATGATTTCTCACTTTTTCTGTAAAGGAAACGTTGAGGATTATGTTTTACTGGTACTTTTTTCTATAAAGCATAGGCTGGGGGATTGAGTCTTACTTTTTCTGTGCAATGAATGTTGGGAATGATGTCTTACTTTTTCTGTTAAGGGAATGTTGGCAATTATGTCTTACTTTTTCTGTGACGTTAAGGCTGGGAATTATGTCTTACTTTTACTATTACGGAAATGTTTGGAATTATTTCTTACTTTTTCTGTGAACGAAAGGTTTGGAATAACGGTTTACTTTATCTGTAACGGAAATGCTGGGAACTATTAAGTTTCTACTAACTCGACCTTGCCTCTATCTGCCAACGCATTCATCCATCCATCCATTCCCTTATTTATTCGTCCATTTCTCAATTCACCTGCCTATCCACAGTCAAAGAACCCCCCTCCCCCCTTCCTGCAATCGTTCATCCACTAAAGTAGCCTACAATACACCCTTGGATTTACATGTATATAAATCTGCCATCTATAGTATCTATATATGTCTATCTGCACTGCTTGTATTTATTGGATTTCCCCTGCGCGTAACATTGTTTAGGTCTCCAATAAGTTAAACTCTTCGATTTTCACACCGCATAATTTCCATCAAAATTTGAAAAACTGAAGGTACAAAACAAAATACAGAACAGCCAAATGATTACAAAAATAAGCGCATTAATTTATTTTCATAGACAAACTTGCTTAAAGCAGAAATACACATACTAGTAACAGGTTTGACCTGCAAATAAGAACAATAAACATGAAGAACACTGGTTAAAACTAACAGTAAAATGGAGGGGCAGACAGACAGACAGACAGACAGATCATAAAGTAAAAGAGCACGTTTGTCCAATTGCTAACCCTGTAAACTTGTAAAATGGATCATCCAGAATAGCAATTAACCCCCCCCCCCCCCCACACACACACAAAAACACAAACATTTTTTCGACGTATGCAAAAGTGGGTTTTGTTTCTGAGATTCATATTATGATAATTATCAGTTTCTTAATTGACCAAGTGGTTGCTAGACTACGAGCTCATAATTAACGACAAGCTGTCACTGATCTGGATCAAATTTGCGGTCAAAGTAAGTGAGGCATGAAGAAACTGTCAACAGCAACAGGTCTGAACAAACAAACACAGAGAAAAGAAAACTTCCCCATAAAATATTTCTGATTTTGAATTCTGTTTACCAGCCAAGAAAATGTACACCATCATGCATAAACGGTAGTGTATACTCAAGGGTTTGTATTCAATAAAAAATTTAAAAATATTTTTAAATGCTATACTTAAAAGTGATGTAACCCGGAAAAAACTATATGTGTATGTAGGGGGGGAGGCTGTATCTGCGTGTGCGTGTTTCTGTTTGTGTGTATGTAGATCTATACCATACTTGTGTGTGATTGTACGTGTAAACGTGTGTGTGTGTGTGTGTGTGAGAGAGAGAGAGAGAGAGAGAGAGAGAGAGAGAAAGAAAGAAAAAGAGAGAGAAAGAGAGAGAAAGAAAGAAAGAAAGAAAGAAAGAAAGAAAGAGACAGAGAGAAAGAGAGAGAGAGAGAGAGAGAGAGAGAGAGGGGGGGGGGGGGGAGAGAGAGTACATAAAACTATGTAACTACCTTAATCAATGTCTCACGGTTCTTATAAACAGCCCTTTAAATTGTTAACTGATCTAGTTGGTCTAACACTAACAGTATCCTATCCTCCTAATGTGTAAGGCAAACATAGCAAGGGAACACTTGTGTTTGTAAGATGTTTCCTTCTACATGACATAGGCTTACCATGGTATAAATCTAAGAAGTTAACAGGATATGTTGCCGTCTGTGATTTTGACGAAATTTTAAGTCTACCGGTCCTTTGTCTCTTATGCCTATAATGCAGAACTAAATATCTTAATGCTTTGAATGGCGACAGAAACACCGGTTTTTCCTGTAGGCCCTACAAACTACAACAAAGCAAAATATATTTAGTTAACAGTTCACGGAACCGACGTGTAATCTACTAAAAATATATCCCTATAGTGACATGCCTCGAGTGAAATGCATGGCCCCATTTTTGCGTATAAGATCGCGTTAATTGATTTTTTAATCGTTATCAGGAAAAAGAAGATAGACAACATGTTTTGCAATCTTTGAGAACTGAAAATTTCGTCAATTTACACGACAGGTTGTGTATTAAATCTACTACGATACTGTTGCAGAATTCCTAACGTTGATGAAAATAGTTGTCGATAATGATGTCCTTTTAAAAATACATTTAGAATTAAGCTTGATGTTATTTTGGAACAACTTACCCTGGGTTGAAGCAGACTTTGAACTGAAAGGTAAAGCCAAGTCGTCAGCGTACTGTGGGCGTTTAGTACCTAGATCTATAGGCCTAACTAACTTAGAAGCAGCAACGATGATTATTGTGTTGACGTCTTAGCTTCAGCTTTCACATAACATTCCTCTTCTAACAGCTAGCCTAATGCACTGATGACTGATTAAAATTCTTTCGCGACGTATGTTTTATAACAATAGTTTGCATGGCGTGATGACGCCTAACCTGAACCGGAGATGGCAACAGTTGTGTAGACCTACTGTATACACACACACACACACACACACACACACACGCTTTCAATCACCTTTTAGGTCAAGGGTTACGCCTATGTAAGACCAGAGACTAAGAACATACACTGCTCTTAGTCTATTTTTATCAAACGCGAAGCTACCTCTTGACACTGGAGCCAAATAGACAACATTTGCTGGAGCGGCGTGGGTTACGAAATTAGGTCAAGGGCTGTATTATCTAGACTACGAGGTACATTTCCTCGTGAAGCTTGTTTACTTTAGTTGATACGCTTTCATAGAGCTGATCGATTAGCAAGCCACCAGCATCGACATAACATTGTTTGAGAGGTCGTGGTGAAATCAGGCCCTCGTCAAAATGATCACATTAACGAAACCAGCCCTTTCCCGTTCGACAGACAATTTGATCGACATTTTTTCGTGTTCAGTACCTTTTATGTCCATTTAAAAACACATTCCTGTGTGAATTGTATTGAAAACTATTGATCAAAGGCGCGCAAAATGTTAACTTGCAGTTTCCATGCACTCCCAATCTTTGGAAGTCTCCTACGAGGGTCGTTCAAAAAGTTTTGCCTCCAAGTTCATAATTTCTTTATTACTAATGCTACATACACAAGTTATACACCAAATGAAAGCGTAGGATGTCTGCTACATGGCAGTGCCTTTACTTTACAACATAGTCGCCTTCTTTGTCGATGCAGACCCGCCAAGGTCGAATAAGTTGTCGCATGCCGTCGGCGAAAAATCCATGTGGTTTTCCTCTGAAACGGCGACGCACATCTTCTTGAACTTCATCGTCAGGTGCATAACGTTTTTCTTTGAGGTTCTCCTTCAACTTAGGAAAAAGATCAAAGTCAGATGGAGCAAGATCTGGACTGTATGATGGGTGTGGTAAGGTCTCTTGAAATCTGAGACTTTTCATGGCATCTTGAGTTTGTCAACTCGTGTGTGGACGGGCGTTGTCGTGGTGAAAAACTGCATTTTTTTTCGGGCCAAACTCGTGACAGCCGCGCTCTAAGTCTTAGTTTTCTCAGTGTCTCAATATATCGTTCATAGTTGATAGTGCAACCCTGTTCCAAAAATTCCATATGAATCAGACCATCGCAGTCCCAAAACACTGTCATACGCACTTTCTTTGCAGATGAAACAACTTTGAACTTTTGGGGGGCTAGATCTAGATCTAGATCTAGGTGAGAGTGGTTTCAGCGAACTCCTTTGCCCATCTTCGAACAGTACTTACATCGACACATGCTTCACCATAGATAAGCTTCATTCGCCTATGAATATCAATGGGTGCAGCTCCCCCTGCAGAAAGGAGCACAAGAACAGCTCTTTGCTTTAAGCGCACATTCATAGATTTGCTGGATGCCATTTTCTCGGCGACAATGTACCCTTGCATCTATGATGTAAACAGCAATAGCATAAAGGTTTGACATCATAGCATAATAATTCTGGTTTTTTGTGTTTGAGGGTATGCATCTGAAAGTCAGTTGTGTGCAAATTTCATGAAGATATCTTGAATAGGCCTAGTTTAGAAGTTATGGGAGAGGAGGCAAAACTTTTTGAACAACCCTAGTAGTTTGGCGACCATTTTCTCGCTCATTTTACTTCTGACAGCCGGGCAACCTTCACCTTCTTCAATAGCAGATATCACGTTTTCTCTGATTTTGGTATAGTCTTCCTTAGCAGGCGTCTTCGGCTTTTTAATGGCATCCTCCCCCCCCCCCCCCCAACCTAGAGGGTGAGCAGTGTATCCCTAGAAAAAAGCCACTTCATGTCCAGCGAGTGATGCCGAATTCGTCCCATTCTAGGACGACAAAACGACAAACAGTGGAGTCCACCTAAAGTAAACAAACTTTATTTGAACATTCGGTTAAAGTGAACGATATTATGTGGTACCGTTTGAATCGCTATTTGTTTAAGTTAAAAAAAATAGTAGATAAAACGAAAAGGTTTCATGGGGAAATCGGATAAAGTGAACGCCCAAAAATGAGTGAAAGCGAAGATCGGACCGACCGTCGTGTCACTGTCACCATGCTGTGAAAGTAAAATTCTTTGCCTCGGGCAACAGCAGACAATCCCAGTTCGGTGTTGACGACGGCAATCTCAATCAGAAAGAAAGAGCTCTTGTCTAGGCTCGCCCTCTGTGTTGTCCCCTCAGCCCACCTCCATCGTAGACCA